TAAATATTTTAAGTCCTCTTCACTGTCAGCAGCAAGGTTGTATCATTTGCATATCACAGATTGTTAGTGAGTCTTCCTCCAATCTTATTGCAACAATCGTCTTCATATAATCCAGCTTTTTGGATTATTTGCTCAGCATACAGATTGAATAAGTATGATGAAAATATATGACCCTGATGCACATCTTTCCTGATTTTATGCCATTCACTATTCTCTTTTTCTGTTCAAATATGTACATCTTAGTCTATGTACGGGTTCCTCATGAGCACTATTAAAATGTTCTGGAATACTCATTCTTTGCAATGTTATCCATAGCTTGTCATGATCCACACAATCCAAAGCCTTTGCATAGTCAATAAAACACAAGTAGATGTCTTCCTGGTATTCTCTGCTTTCAGTAGTAATATCCCTCGTTTATACATCTTCATCTGAATCTGACTTGAATTTCTTAAAGTTCTCTGTTGATGTACTGTTGCAGCCATTTTTGAATTATGCTCAACAAAATTTTACTTGCATGTGATAATAATGATATTGTTCAATGATTTCTGCATTCCACTGGGTCACTTCTCTTTGAAATGTGCACAATACGTATCTTTTGCAGTCAGTTAGTAAGGTAACTGTCTTCCAGATTTCTTGGCATAGATGAGTGAGTGCCTCCAGTACTGCATCAGTTTGTTGAAAGATTTCAGTTTGTATTCTGTCAATTACCAGAACCTTGTTCTTTGCTAATGACTTCAATGCAGCTTAGATTTTTTTCTTCAGTACCATTAGCTACCTCATGAAGTGGTTGAACATCAACCATTTCTTTTAGTTACAGTGACTCTGCATTCCTTCTATCTTCTTTTGATGCTTTCTGCATCATTCAATATTTTGCCCATAGAATCCTTCACTATTTCAAGTTGAGGCATGAATTTTTTCTTTAGTTCTTTCAGCCTCAGAATTGCTGAGCATGTTCTTCTCTTTTGGTTTTATAACTCCAGGTCTTTGCACATCTTATTATATAATCTTTGACTTTGTCTTCTCAAGCTCCCCTATGAAATTTTTCTTCAACAGTTCAACTTCTTCATTTCTTCCATTCACTTTAGAATCTCTACACTGGAGAGCAAGTTTCAGGGTTTCTTCTGACATGTTTTCTCTCTTTTTTGTCTTCTCAATGAATGACCTTTTGCTTTCTTCCTGTATGATGTTCTTGATGTCATCCCACAATTCTTTTGGTTTGGTCATTAGTGTCTAATGCATGAAATCTTTTCTTGAGATTGTCTCTGAATTCTGGTGGGATGTGTTCAAGGTTGTATTTTGGATCTCATAGACTTGTTTTAATTTTCTTCAGCTTCAACCTGAATTTGCATATGAGCAATTGATGGTCTGTTCCACATTGTGCAACTGGCCTTGTTTTGGCTGATGATATTGAGCTTTTCCACCGTCCCTTTCTACAGATTAATTTCTGTATATTCCATCTAGAGAAGTCCATGTATAAGTTGTCTTTTATGTTGTTTTAAAAAGTTATTTGCAATGAAGAAGTCATTGGTCTTATAGTTCTGTCATATGATCTCCAGCATTATTTCTGTCACCAAGAACATATTTTTAACTACTGTCTTTACTCTTTGTTTCCAACCTTTGTATTCCAATTACCAGTAATTATCAGTACATCTTGATGGCATGTTTGATCTACTTAACAGTGAAGAAATTGGTAGAATTCTTCAATGTCATTAACACTAGCTTTAGTGGTTGGTGCATAAATTTAAATAATGTATTAATTGGTCTTCATTATAGGTATATTATCCTATGCCAGACAGTATTGTGCTTCGATATAGACACTGAAGTGCTCTTTTTGATGATGAGTGCAATGCCATTTTTTTTTTTTTCAATTTGTCATTCCTGGCACAGTAAACCATATGATTGTCAGATTCAAAGTGGCCAATACTAGTACATTTCAGCTCATCGATTCCTAGAATATCTATCTTTATGTGTTCCATTTCATTTTTGACAAGTTTCAATTTTCCTAGATTCAAACTTTGTACATTCCATGTTCCAATTATTAAGGAATATTTACAGCTGTTTTCCCTCATCTTGAGCTGTGCTCCATCAGCAAATGAAGGTCCTGTAAGTTTTATTACATTTGAGTCATCATAGTCAACTCTACTTTGAGGAGGCAATTCTTTCCCAGTCCTTTAATTTTATTTAAAAATGCCCTCACTTTGAAATGATTGAACCAAACCCTATTCACAACAAATTCTTCATTATCATCACATTCACTTACTGCAGGTTCAGCTTTTAAATCATTGAAAAGACTGAGCTTTTCATTACTTTAAAATAAGTGCAGTGGATTATGAGTTGGGCTGCTAATCACAAGGTCAGTAGTTTGAATCTACAAGTCACTCCATGGGAGAAGGATGAGGCTTTCTATTCCTGTAAAGATTTATAGCCTCGGAAACCTTATACAGGTCTGCTATGAGTCAGAATTGGCTAATTGGCACACAACCCCCACCACCATATCCAGAGTAAGGCTAAATAAACCATTTGCATCTGTTCTGATTTAGCTACAAATTCGAGTTAAACATACGCTTAGGAATGGATCTTGTTCATAACCTGGGGATTGATTGCCTATGTATCATTATCGATTAAGTAGAATAAACAAAAGTGCTACAAGAATTCTAAGAAGAAATCATTGAGCAAGACTGCATGATAGAATAATTAATGACTTGCAGAAAGAGAGAGAAGGAAGGATAATTCAAACAGGAAAATAGACTTGACAAAGAAACAAAACAAAAGGTCCACAAGATAGATTTGATAAGGAGAAGCAAGGCAGTGTGCATGGAGTCATTAATGAAGTTTGATGTTTATACTTGTGTAGCTACTAGATAAATAAGAGAGGTATTTGTAGAAAAAGAAGAAATTCTGGTGTTTCTGTTGGCAGTCTGTTTTCCTTGCCCTCCGTTTGTCTGTAGTCCTTCTCTGACAGCATTGGTGGAAGTTTCCAGGGAGAGGGTTTCAGAAGTAAAGGTATTTTGGTCTTAGAGATTTGGCAGATAGGTACAGTTCTCTAGTGTGACTTCTTTATGGTGCACATGATGGTCAGGAATTAAGTTCATAGAAATGATTTTGTTTTTTGTTTTTAATTTTCCCTAAATTTTACTCAATAATTTTATTTCTTTACGAATAGGTAAAAGAAGATACCCTAAGTCCGTCAGAGAGGGAGAGTGAACCTGAGCTGCTGAGTGATGTCAGCCTTCCTTTCTTTGTTGAAAGTGGGGCAGAATCTCAGTCTGATGTCAACACTCAAAAATCTTTCCCACTCATCAAAGTAGTACAATCAGGTAAAAATGAAAATGAAACTTTCTGTAATTTTAAAGCTGGCAAATACGAATTAACTGGACAGCAACTAACAAGAACAGCAAAGTATCTTAAAAATAATTTAGTCTAGTTTACTCATACAGGGAAGGGGACTTGGCTAACAAGAAAGAATTACTTATTGAATCATATGACTAGGAGAATGACTAACGTTTTAAAGAAAGCTTATTGTCTCCATGTGAGTATTTCTATGTAATTTTTAAAGGAAGAGTAAAGGGCACGTGTAACCAGAAAGAAGGAAGCTAGCTCAAGAAAGGTCAAATATGTGTGAACTCAGCATTTTCAAAAGCTAAAAGAAAAGTTGTCACAGAAAATGATAGAATTTAGCCATATAGTAAGATAGACGAATAGTTAGCGTAGGTCCCAGTACTCCTCTTTTTAAAACTCTCCAGAAGTCTTTTATCATATTTAAAATTAAATCTTAAGTACAAATCATGGCCTACAAAGCCCTCCATATCATGCCTCTGGCTCCTTCTCCAGGGTCATCTCCCATCACCTTTCCCCTCATGTATGATGTTGTCATCACACTGCCAGTTGTTCCCTGAAGTACATTCCTGCTTTTACACTTGGGGCTCTTCCCAAGATGTCATCAAGACTTACTGTCTGAATTCATTCAGGCCTCTGCTCACATATCCACTTTTAAAGCGGCTTCTCTGACCACTCACTCTGAAGTCGCACATCACTTCTCTTCCCATCACTTTTTACCCCCTTTATTTTCCTATAGAGTACGTATCACCATCTATCAGTTATGTTTATTTGATTATGCCTATCACTATTAGGCAACGAATTCTAAAACAATGGGATTTATCAGCATTTATTAAATGAATGAATGAGGGCGAAAATAATGTGATAAAGGATGACTAGAGGGTTGGGATCGGAGGAGGTGCTGCTTTAGCTAGGGTTTTGGAGACACCTTCCAGAGAAGCAACATGTGGATTGAGGCCTGGGTCGAAGGAATTATACTTTTCCTTTTTGCTTTTTTAATTGCTTTCCCTTTTACTTATTTTTTAAATTCTTAATATTTACAATAAAATGATCTAAACAGTCTAAGTCCCTCTTTAGAACCCCACCTCACCCTACTCCTACAGATAATCCACAACTACCCTTTTTTGGGGGTGCCTAAGTCCTGATGTGGCGCTGTGGGTTAATGTGCCAGACTGCAAAGCCATTTGAACTGCAAGGTCAGCAGTTCAAGCTCACCAGCTGCTCCTCAGAAACCCTATACAGGGTCGCTATGGGTCGGAATCGACTCAACGGCACTTAACAACAACAACATTTCCTTCTAGACTTATATTGTTCTTAATGGCCAGTTGCTCTTTGTAAAAGTTATATTGCTTATAATCAAATATACTTAAATATCTGTTGGATTTTTTTGTTTGACTTATTTTCTTGCTCAAAATAGTGACTTGCATGTTTTTTACATCTTGATTGATACTCTAAGAATCAGCATCCGTTTGTTCTGGATCTCTTGATGGAGTTGAATACTCAAGACAAAAGGAAAAGGGAATTGTGAAGATGACTGTGCCCAAGACGCTTGCTTTCTGCTATTTGTCATTACTTTGGCAGAGAGAAACAATTACTCTTTCGGATCTGTTGCGGTAAGCTTGACATGATGATGATGGTATGATGATGCTTTTGCTGATTGTGTGAATGAAGGGTCAGACTTTGTATATTTTGAATATTGCAAGAAGAAAGGACTCAAAAGATTGGGTAGCCTGATATCTGGAATTTCATTGCTCTTTGATCTAGTAATTGATTTTTTTGGTTTCCTGTTTATATAGTGGAGTCCCAGTATGACACTGTAAGATAAGTGCTATGAGTTAGAACCAGCCTGATGGTACTTAATAACAACAATAACCCCTCTTCATCTCCATTTTCCCATTGGCAACCCCAGTGCCATTTCTGGCTCTTAGAGCACCTGGGTCTTGGTGTGATATTAAGTAGTTTTTTGTGTGTTTGTCAGGCCACAGTGAAAACAAGTGCATAGTAAGTATACAGGGCTCGGAGAGCCAGCATTGGAAGGAGCCTCACATGCTCTGTAACAAAATCTTAAGGAAAGGCTTTGATTTATTCAAGTTCATGTGGCAAGTATTTAGAAAATACAAAGCCCACCACCATCAAGTTGATGCTGACTCATAGCAACCCTATAGAAGAGAGTAGAACTGTTCTTTACAGGAACAGATAGTCTCATGGAGTGACTGGTGGGTTTGAACCACTGCCCCTGCTGTTAGCAGCCTAACACTTAATCCACTATGCCACCATGGTGTTCTACTCTAACATAAATAGATGTAGAAAATTTAACAGATCTATAACAAAAGAAGAAATTAGGAGGTCATAAAAAAAAACAAAAAAAACTTCCAACATTAGAAAATCCAGCTCAGACTCTTTCACTGGAGAATTTTTTAACAGACATTTAGAAAAGAATTAATACCAATTCTACTCACACTATTTCAGAACCTCGAAAAAGAAGGAATACTCCCTCATTCATTCTATGAAGGTAGTATAACCCCCATACCAGCCAAAGACATCCCTGAAAAGGGAAAATATAGACTAACATCTCTTATAAATATATGAGGGAGCTTCAAAAAAATTCATGGAAAATTGGAATTAAAATATTATGGAGTTTTCCCATGAGTTTTTTGAAGTCCCCTTATATATAATGTAATCCCAATCTTAATTCTTGAACATCCTTTGATAAATTGGAAAAGTTCACCTTCAATTTATTAGGAAAAGGAAGGAGGCCCTGAATCACTAAAGCAATATTGAAGAAGAAAGTAGAAGGCCTCACACTTCCCAGTCTCAAAATTTATGATTGTTGTTAAATCCTGTTGAGTTGATTCTGATTTATAGCGACCCTGTATAGGGTTTCTGAGGCTGTAAATCTTTGCAGCAGCAGAAAGGATTATCTTTCTCTTTTGGAGTGGCTGGTGGGAGCTAACCACCAACTTTGTGGTATGCTGTCCAGTGCTTATCCTACAGAGTCACCACATTCCCCAAGTTAATATATAGCTATGAGAATCAAAACAGCCTGGTACTGATACAGTGACAGACACATAGACCAATGACATAGAATTGAGAACCTAGACGTAAACCTAGATGATCTTCAACAAAGGATCAAAGTCCATTCAACAGGAGCAGTCTCTTTAACAAATGGTCCTAGCATAGCTGTATATCCAGATGCAGAAAAATAAATTAAGATCCATATCTCATACCACACACGAAAACTAACTCAAAATGACTTGAAGACCTAAATGTTAAAACTAAAACTATAAATTTCCTAGAAGAGAACATAGGTAAAACTAGGGAACTTAATCTTCAGCATAATAACCTATCAGACAAAACTAAAAATGCATGAACAACAGAAAACAAATTAAGAAAATGAGAAGATAGTTAGTTATTCAAGCAATTGAACAAACTCTGAACAGGATAGACACCATAAGAAAAACACCAAGACCTATTATAATCAAACTTTTTAGAACCAAAGACAAAAAAAGTATCCTGAGAGCAGCTCAGAAGAAAAACAAAAAGTTACCTACAAAGGAGAACTAACAAAAGTAAGCTCTGCTTTCTCAGAAAAAAACATGCAAGCAAGAAAACTTATCAAATTCTGAAAGAAAAAAAATTACCAACCAAGAATCTTATCCAGCAAAATTGTTAATCAAATATGATAGTGAAATTCCATTATTTTCAGACAAACAAAAGAATTTGTAAAAACCAGACCAACCTTACAAGAATTACTTATAAAGGGAGTTCTTTGAACAGAGAATTAACAGCAGCAGACAACAACCTGAGGCTAGCATAATGACAATATCACTTAGACTGAACCCAGGTATTAAAACATACCTATAATACTTAAACTAAGGAGCTCTGATAATGTAATGATTACGAGTTGGACTGCAGTTCGAAACTACCAGCAGTACCGCAGGAGAAAGATGACACTTTCTGCTCCCATAAAGATTTACAGCCTCGGAAACTCTATATAGTGTCGCTACAAGTCAGAACTGACTCCACGGAACACCACCACCACCATAATACTTTAAATAGAGAACCTATGAAACAATTGCAATAACAACAAAAACTTAAAGTAAAAAGGGGGATTAATGTAGTTACAGAACTTCCAAATGAAGTGGAAATCAAATAGATGTCAAGAAAATAATAAATCTAACTGTAACCCTAAAAACTAGACCAGCCTTACTCCTAGCCCTACCCCAACTCTTAACACTGACACTAATTCTAGCCCTAACCGTAACCCTAGCACTGAATGAAATTCTAGGCTTCGCCAAGACCTAGTCATAGTAACCATAACCTTCAGTTCTTACTCCTACCCACTCCCCGCCCACCTCCAAACAAACAAAAACAAAACTGAAACCTTCTAAAAATAAAATGCCTATCTATGCTCATCAAAGATTTTACCAAAGAGAGTAAAAAGAACCTACCCAGGCAGGGGAATGTGGAGCGGATCTGTGACAAAGATATATCTGATAATGGTCTAATCTCTAAAGTAGATACAAATTGTCAAGAATTCAACAACAAAAATCCAATTCAATCAAAAAAGACACAAATATGCTTCACTAAAGACTACAGGGTTGCTATGGGTCAGAATCAACTCAACAGCACTTAACAACAACAAAGAGTACATTCAGGATGCCAACAAATACTCATGCATGAAAAGATCCTCACAATCATTAACCATTGTTGTTAAGTGCCATGGAGTCGGTTCTGACTCTTAACGACACTGGATAAGGTTTCCAAGGAGTTAACTACTGGGCTTGAACCAACTGACTTGTGGTTAGCAATATTTTAGTTATTCTACAATGCCACACCAGTACTCCATTAGCCATTAGAGAGAAGCAAATATAAACTAAAAATAAGATATTTTACAAAAATGGCACTGATCAGAAAACAAAACAAAATTATGCGGAGATTGTGCTCTTAAGATTATAGAATGATACAATCACTATACAGTTGTATGGTACTTCTTCAAAAAGCTAGACATAGAAATATCTTATGTGTAGTAATTCCACTTCTAAGTATATGTCCTAGGTATATATGAGCAGATATCCTAGATATATAAGAGCAGTGACACCAATAGACTTATGCACACCTGTGTTCATTGCAACATTCATCATAGGAAAAAGATGGAAACAACTTAAATTCCCTTCAAGAGATGAATGGATAAGCAAACTGGTACATACATGCAATGAAACACTACACACCACTATAAAGAATAATGATTCCACAAAGCTTAACATGGTTGAATATGGAGAACATTATACTGAGAGAAATAAGTGAATCACAAAAAGGCAAATATTTAATGGTTCCACAATTATTAAAAGTCAAGAATAGATTTGCATACAGAAAACAAAGTTCGTTTATGGTTACCAGGGATCAGAGGGAGAGAGAATCACATTTGAGATAGGAGACACTTGTTACTTTTGGTGATTGGCAAGGCAAGACCAAATATGAGTATGGGTGAAATCAGCATAACTTGACAAAGATAAATGAAGACACTATGGAAGTACAAAGGACTTCAAAAAGCTTGTAGAAAAAGTCCCCTTCTTCATAAGGAAAAAGAAGAATTTCAGTAAATACAATATGCATTTACATATGTAATTTTGCAATAATGGTAAAAAGATCTATGAGTTCATATCATATGTGTATAGAAAGGCATATGTGAGTAAATTCATGTGCATGTATAGGTATATCTGTAGGCATATATACATGTTGGTATGTCTGCATATATAGCCATGTATACAAAAACCACATAGGCACAGTTACAGAAACTTCTTAGACATATCCAAACAACTTACAGGTTTGGTTTACAGAATGTATGGTTTACAGAGTATGTCTTGGGACCATAGTCTTGAGGGACAGCATAGTCGGCATAACATAGTTCACAAAGATAATGTTTACTGAATAGTGACTGGAGTCTTAGAGGCTTTTAAGTGGCCATCTAAGATTCAACTATTGGTCTATACTCATTATCAAGCAAAAGAAAATGAAGGAACTCAGAGGCACGAAGAAGAAATTGCTCTACAGGAATAATAGCCCACATGAACCACAGCTTCTTTTAACTTGAGACCAGAAGAACTAGATGGTGCTTAGCTACCACTACCAACTGTTATGACCTGGGACACAATAGAAGGTCCTGAATAGAATGGAAGGAAAATGTAGAACAAAACTCAAATTCCTAAAAATGACTAGACCCACTGGGCTGGTTGGGAATGAAGTGGCTCTGTAGGATAAGCACTGGACTGTGAGTCACAAAGTTGGAAATTTAAGACCACCAGCTGCTTTGTTGAAGGAAGATGAGGCTTTCAGCTCCCACAAAGATTTATAGCCCTGGAAACTCTATACAGGGTCACTATGAGTCAGAAATGACTTGATGACGTGTAACAAAAACTGGGCCAATACAGACTAAAGGAACCCCTGAGGCTGTTGCCTTAAGATAACATAGAATGTGGAATTGAAACCGTTTCTGTAGGTCACCTTTTAGCCAAATAATAGAATGGCTTATAAAATAAACAGCATCCTGTGCCTAATGTGTTCCTTTAAACTATTAACTGTATGCAACCAAATGGTCAATATTTACTCAAAA